AATGTCCAGCCCAGAACATTATCCCCTTTTTTACAGATTATCCTCAAGTACCCTTCAACCAAAACCATAGCAGTTTTTACTGCTTTGAGCTTCCATTCTCCCTTAAGAACACAAACGTCCAGGCAGACATGTTCCAAACATTTTCACACCGAAATAAAAGCACATTCTTCTGATTTTATCTCCTGATGCAGCTCTTTTCTCCAGCTAGCCGAGCGTGCAAACCTTTCATCCAGGTAAATGCATTGCTCAACTTCTTGTTGCTTTGGTGCCTGGTTGAAGAGAACCAATCAGAATTTGCCATTTAAAGGGCACGGTATGAATTTTTCATGCTCTGCGGTATGACGTCAGCATTGGACGCCTCTGAAGATGCTTGTCATGGTACGTTGGCCCCAAGCATGACGCCTGACCCATTGTGAGCCTGGGAAATGATGGACATGCCGTGGTAATTTATTACCTCTTGGAGTTACGGTTATTTGTCCTGTTTTTGAAGCACAATGGGCACCTGGCGAGGATGGAGTGGCAGGTGGAGACCGTCTGCCGGCTACGTGACGCGACGGGAGCGTCAAGGACACACAGAACGAGTCGGCATTAGCCACCTACAAAGGTTCCCATGAGTCAACATGTGAGATGGGAGAGTGTGAGGACAGCATTCTGTCTGATGACATGAAACTGATATCCCATGATGCACCATCCACATGTATAAGCTTCCTATACAAAGACTCATTAACTGGTTGCACGGACACAAGAAAGTATATGAAAAGAGGTTTAGCAATGATGGTTTACTTTATAGAGGCCAAACTCCTAACCGGAGCACCAGATTGTAACTAGTATTAGTAGTATGCCATAACAACACTCATAGTAATCGTAACCTGTGTTGGGGTAGTTACAAAAGTAATCCATTACAGACAGAGGGGGAAAGTTCAGGGCCAGAAGGTAGAAATCCAGACCAAGGTTTTGTTTCAACCAACCAGTTGAGTATAAAGCATCACAGTCACAGAGTATGCAACTGTTTGGTTGAAACAAAACCTTGGTCTGGATTTCTACCTTCTGGACCTGAACTTTCCCCCTCTGTCTTTAATGGGTCACTTTTGTGAGTAACTGGAGGAAGTCAAGTGCCAAATTATTACTGAAATTGATAATTAGTATGTCAGTGAAAGAATAGATGTACAGTAGCACTCAAAATATAATTCTTCTGAACAAAGATATTACAGCTGAATTAATTTCTGGGCAATGCTGTTGACCAGCACATGGGGGGGATCAGGATTTTGCGACTGTCTAAGGCGCAGAATCTCAATTCAAAAACGGAAGCCTGCAAAAATAACCTTTTCTTCCTACGAACTATAAACACTGTACACAGATGTCCACTGATAATTTCATCCACACACACGGTCTAGACTGCTGTTGTGAGCAGCTGTTTTGCAAAAAAAGGACAAGAAGGAGTCAGTCTGCTCTTGGACGCAATGCCTCCTGAGGGTTGGTCTTTCTTCCAGGTTACTGGATGTGGGGAAAAAAGAAGAAGAAACCAAATTGTACCAATCATGGAAAATGAGGAACAGGTGGAATTAATCAACCCGCTAAACCTAACTACCTGATTTTCAGTCGTATGCTCCCCATCACGCCACAGTGAAGAATCCCTAATATAGTCATTTTATATAATATAGTCAATATAGTGCTGCAAGGCCCAAAGACGTGTCTCTATTCCCTTACAAGGGGATGAAGCGGTGGATCACACTTAGGCTTATGTTTTCTTGTATAATGAATAAAATACATCAGCTGTTTTGGATAAAACTGTCCGCAAAGAAAGTCAAGAACGCACTATAGAAAGCACCCCTGTGGCAACACTGCATAAACCCTTACAATTCATCCTACAGCGAAGGTGGGGACTATAGCAGTTGACCAAAGACTGTATGCCAGTGTCCATTTCAACTGCATCTCGTTACACTGCTGCAAGTCACAAGGTTTGGAGAAGAAACACTTAAGGGCTTCATAACAAAAACAAAAGATGCTCCAGATCGTGGGGAGAAAGGCATATCTGTTCTGCGGAACCCCATTTATGTATAAGAAGTTTTTGAAGGACCCACGCGAGCCTCTGTAGGTAGGAACAGCACATGTCACATGTTTGTGGATGTGCTCTTTCCCTTACAGCTATAGCTGCAAGAGTAGGTCAGACAATTTCTGGCATAATTCAGAGAACAGTATTCAATGGCCTACTGTCAACAAATCACCCAAATGGGCTGTTTTATGTCACCAAGCTAAAATCAAATTAGCCACAGGCTAAATTCTGTTCTGTTATGTTAATGTAGGCGTACTTGTTACCATGGCCAAATTACAAATTAAATTTTATTTGTTGCTGATCAGTTACCTCATTCCCCTCCATCAGAGTCCTGCCCAGGTTGGGGTACCTGCAGGTACCTCACGGGTGACCCCCGAATTTTGACGTAACGGGTGAAAAATATCGTACTATTTAGTTTGCAGGTACTGGTGCCGCTGGAAATCAGTAGGCCACAGGTGGACCGCGGGTCTAAATGGCAATGCTTATTTTAAAAATGTAATTTTTGAAAATGTAAAAAAAAAAAATTATTTACACAGGGGTAGGCCTGCACTTCAAATTCATAATAAACACTTTTTAAAAACATGTCGGCGATTCCCACAGATGTCTTCTTTTCTTGAAATCACATCAGGGGTTCTGATTCGTGTGTAGTTCGGATCTCGGAATTGGATGACAGGCCGGACGCGGACTTAAGCATTGGGGGTGTGGGTGGGTGCGAATTTACAAAACCGGACCCTTGCTGGACTGTGCTGTCCAATGCCCAGTCCCAGATAACTGGTTAGACGATGGTCGGATAGTTTTTGCTTGCCAAACAAGCAAGGACACACACTTAGCATGAAGGCACTAACTACGGGAATTAATAATACATTTCATGGCACAAGAATTGGTTAGTAACTGTCATGTGTCAAGGCTGAAAACGAAGATGGCTGATTACCAGGCAGGGGTCCCCATTTTACCAGCTTGGAATGCACTCAGGGGTTACGGGCGAAAGTCTTCTGTTTATGCAAGCTGAACTCTTAAAACCAAAACTTACTGGTATGTGTGTGAAGCCCCTTAAGGGGCTTGCCTGACCCCCTACTAATGTGACCTGTCTGAACCCTGATAGCGCCCCGATACACCAGCAGTGGGAGGCCTCGACGTGGAACACTCTCAAGCTTAAGGTAACAATTTTATGATGTGCAACAATGTTATGTAATTAGCTGCTTAGTTAAACAGTGATTTCAGGATGCCGGAATGTCTGTATTCAGTGTTTACAGCTGCAGAAACTAGCACTCGGGGATATTTTTTAAACAATTCAGATGCAAATAATTAAATTCAATTCTCTGGTGTGTATCTGAATCTACTCCAGTACCAATACACCAAAACAATATTTATTTTCACAAGCCCTCGAAATTAATTCAGATGAATGGCCATTATGTATTTTTTTTCTTGGGTTTCCAATGTAAATTTTCTGCCTGGTTTTTTAAACCATGCGTTGGGTATTTTTAGTGAAGGAAATTTTGGCTAGGATGGGTGGAATGCAGTAAAAAGGGTGTTCATTTTAGGTTAATTTCTCTAGTTCTCAGAATACCGGATAATTATCCCTCCTCCCCAGATTCCTTGCATGTGGATGTTCCGTTGGAAGTTGGAGTTCGTGTTAAAGAGATGCCTCAGTACATGTTGCTCTCCCAGGGTGCCTCTTGTAAATAGGGTCGTGACCCTTAGATTTTATTGCCATTAGCCTCTCATCTGAGTATGAAACGTCTCGTTTGTTTGGGGTCATCCCCACTGGCGCAGAGGAACGAGTCCAGTATGTGGCACATACGTTATGACCTCATCGAGTCCCAGTGCCTAGGTGATACGTTCCCCTGGAATTAGGTTTACAATCCCTTGTTTACTCACAGCAAACATCAAAATCTTAATGGCTGCTTGAATTTCTCAGAGGATCTCCAGGTTTGTGCCCCCACACAGATTAACTGATGCCTTTTTAGTCCGTTGCAATCTGTTACTGGTAGATAACTGTTCAGTTTGATTTGAGTCTTGTAGATTATATCTCAAGGTGCCTGATGTCTTCATTACCCCATCATTAACAATTAGGGCTCCACTGGGCAGGAATTGGCATGTTTAACGTAACACATACCTGTGATAGGGTGAATGGGTTACATTGTCATGTAATTGTTTAATGGCGCAATGGGATTTATGTACAATAAAAAAAATGACTATAATTGACGATAATTATAAAGATAAAGCATCATTAATACCTACAAGTCACAGATCTAGATCACAGAACAATTTAATGCTGAAAATTTAGTAAAAACTAATTAACACCACTACTGAACCCAAAACCGGATTAACAGATTTATAGGATATCATTCTCAGATCTGAGTTGGGATGTGTCTATGAATCTGGTGCTGGTTTTGTAGCCGCCTGAGGTAGCCTGGTGTCCCATCTAGGACATAACCTCCTATTTTTAGCAGGCTAGGCTCAAGGTCACTGTGTCTCTTCCTGGGTTAGTTATTAAAAATTAACACAACCTCCCAAACACACCTGGATATCTCAGAAAGGAAGGAGAGCCAGTTGAATGTACTGTAACCTTCATCTGCAACACAGAGAAAACCTCGTTTCGTTCACGGACGGATCAACAATACAAACCCCTAACTCCAATGATGTAGGCCTACCTATTCTGTGGAATTATAATGTCTTTAGCAATTGATGCCATTTTGCAATCAATAAAGACAGAAAACGTAGTGTTTACCGTAGCACATCCCTGTGGTATATGGCAATGGGATACATTGTTATCATTCGTTTGACAGAAAAGCGACTCACGACTCGCGTTTTTGTCGGAAATGATGATCGTGCCGTTGTAACACCTCCTTGCCCTGATTGCAGTCTCTGCATATGGAGCAATTATAGTGAATTAGGGTGACTCCTCCCCTCAGCGTGTCATCTAGTCTCTTACTCGTGGCGTCATTAAAAAGGACTGGTTCGGCCAAGTGGCTTTTGTGTTTGCAAAGTGCGCTTCTCTCAAACCGACTTTTGCCACTTCAAACAGGAGCGTTTCTTTTCCAGATCGCAGTTCTGCTGCAGAGTTTTAATACTAACCTTTGTTTCGTTTTAAGTTTTTTTCCATATCTGACTTTCTCCGAAGTTCGGTTCGTAATAATACTTTGCGAGTTAACCTCATTTATAAAGACAGCTGCTTAACGGTTATAGTTAAGTTTTTTTCACTGTTAACTATAGTATATATTACTTGTTTCTTTTTTTTGGTGTTGATCTGGATTTATTTTAGATCTTCTGCGTGTTTTCTTGCACATTCATTGTCTGGTTATGAACGAGACTTGAATGGTTTGACAGCGAAAGCCTCTCATATAGGGAAAGATCTTACTGTTTTCCCTGTTGACGGACTGAAATCCAACTTTAATGATGATGAACAAGAGTGGAATGGTGTCTAAAATCCAGACACGAATAAGGACTGAGCCTTTCAAAAACTATTATGACCTGGTCGGAAGAGAACTGGGCAGGTAAGTTCCGTGTCGATTTAAATTCTTTGCTATGGATTTTAAAACGCTTTAGTTCATACTACAGATGCACGCAATATCAACGCCGGTACGAGCCCCAAAATGAAGCTCGGCAGAGAAAGGGGATTGCAGTATAGATGTGCTCGGCTGTACTCAAGTACTCTAAACGTGAGAAACCCCGTTCTTTCAAATAAATACTTTTGCGATACTTGTCGTGGATGAATATCGTGCTTGACTGCATCTGTAACACGCATGACTGCATCGCCATGGTCTATTCGAACTAATTCCGAAGGTGTGTTTGCAGGCGCTTGCGGTGAATTTGTTCATGCGTTAGTTATTTAAAAAATTGTGATTTGAATATGCAAGAGTGCATGACTTATGCGAGCAAATACTTCCATCCAGCGTCCTAATTAGTTCGTGATGTTACTAACTAGCGGTACATACTTAAGTTCACCTGTTGCTGTTGTCTTGTGTTTTTAAGTTTTTTTTTTTTTCTATTATTGTTTTGAGTTGTATTTGTCACCAGCAAACACTGTACATGTGTGTCGTGATGTGGTTTTTTTCCGTCTGCTCCCTGGATCCTGCTCAAAGAGGAAAGACTAATACCGAGAAAGATAATGTAATAAATAAGTTAAAAGAACAGTAAGGAATAGTACATAAGACGGTAAAATATAAAAGCTGTAATATAAATTATGTCCGAAAGCCGTGAAAGGAAGAATGTTTAAAATAGCCTTCGCGTTTAAGTCTGTAGATTGATATCTGAACGAAATAACTTGTGTAATCCCAGAAGCTGAATGAAAGATCAAGAGAATGTCTCTAATGGAATGACTTGTTTTGAGTTTAGATATGCAATCTGTGAACGCCAGTTTTGCACGCAAATAACCCAGATGAAAGTAGTGGGTATTCGTAGCACAGCCTATGGTGTTAAGACTATTTCCAGAAGCACAGATTAACATCTGGGCAAAAAAAAACAAGTACTTTTGCACAAAACAACAAAGTATATGTCCAATAACGACAAGTAGTCAGTGAGCCGGTATAACTTTCATCTGTTTTTCTTTAATCGGTGGGGCTTTCATTCCTATAAGGAGAACAAACGTGAGCTGTGATTAAAATGGTTTAAAATTCATTGGTGCTTTGAGTAGGTTATGCGAGTCATCTGTGAGCTAAAATGGTTACGGCGTGTCTTTGGACTGTGTGAACTATGATTGCGTGCATTTTTAGCACGGGGTCAGTTTTTATCGCGCTTTTCACTCATCATAATGTCCAGTTTTTTTTTTTCTTCTCCTACCTGCCACTTTAATCTTAGTCGGTACGTCCCCCCCCCCATACACCGAAAAGCAAAGTGTCCAGTGCACAGGTTGCAAGCCTAATTAAGCTCACCCTTTCTCTCCAGCCCACAGTACGAACTTTTGAGGCTGGCAGACCCCATATACAGGAAGGTCTGTTTATTTTTCTGGGATACTGTGGCTTGTAGTATTGCTATAGTCCCTCTGCCAAGTTTGAGTTTTTTTTTTTATCGCTGTTTAATGTGCTGATTTACTTGTTAGCCAAGGGCGGTCTCTTTATTACCCTTATTAACAACTCGCATGCTCACAAATATCCTTAGTGCTGTTTGCACGTTTTCTTCTGCCAGCCTTTGGGGGTTAAAGCGGAGGAAGTCGCGCGCTGCTTGGTGGCAGCAGAGATCTCCTTAAACACCGTGGGATGTCACAGGCGTCAAACCAAAAGCTCGTAGCTGAGCGAAGTCAGCATGTCTCTCCATTCGCCACCCAGGGCCCTGCAACCTAGACCATCCTTAAAATCATTAATCTCCTTAATCGCAGGAAAGTTAGCAGTGCAGAACACGTGACGCGTGTCAGTAAAGGGTTGACGTCCACTAGGATACCCCAACTCTAGATTTCTGGTTGTTTTCCCGTCCTTTTTCTGTGACATATTGCCTTTTTCCTTAATTTTTGAGGTCTGTTATTCAGCTCACAAGGCACTTTGTCTGGAGGGCTGTGCCAAATGTTCCAAGCCTGAATTCAGCATCCGTCTTACCATCCATCTTAATAGTTAGAACTGTGGCACTTGAAGCTTTGGGTAGGTGAGAAATTGCCCCTTTGGTTGAGTTTTTGAGGCTCTCTAGGAACTTGTGTAAAACCAGTTCTTCTTCCACTGCAAAACAAGAAACTTAATTTGGGCATATTGGGTCATATGTTTTCTAATTGGGTTATTATAAATGAGACTGGCGTCAATATAAAATTTATCGCCTACACATTCTGGGTAATTCCTTGTAAACTGAGATGTGCGTGTGTTCTTTTCTTTTTTAACTGGGTATGTGTAACTTTAACCATTAGCAATAAGCAGGGCAGGAAATGTTGGTTAGCGTGAAATAGGATGCCGGTGGCTGTCTTTGCGTCAGTGATGAGTCAGCCGTAATGAGAAAAGGCTGAGAGAGCAAGATGCCACAGGAAAACCAAACTGTTACATTATCAAGGCCTTATCCCCTGTCAGCTCTCACTCATCCGCATTTCAGTCACGGCGAAATGACTAGAAACGCTTATTCCTTCCTGAATGCAAACTTCCCTTTATGGCTGTTTGTTGAAAGCGCAGCATTATGACACCAGCGATGAGGCAAACCGATATGCAAGATTTGCAAGAGTCAGCTGTGGAGGTAATTTGCAAAAAGGTGTTTGAGGTGTTTTCTTTTTTTAAACCTGTACCTGTACGTTGGAGCCGTTGTGGCCATTGTGCTGGCACCTCTGTGTTGGATGAATTCTCTTTAAAATGGGCTGAGGAATCGTGGCTGCAGTTCTCAACATCAGCTTTCTCAGCCACTATTAGTGTTTTGAGAAGAGGAAGAAAAAAATATTTCAAAATGAATAACTAATGAGTAGAGAATCTGTATGTCACTTCAGGAGTCCTTCCAGTTTTACCTTCTGTCATCACCTCTGAACTACTCCCGTCTGTTAGTCACTGTTTTATTGGTTCCCAGCTATGTTCTTCCACTGAACCTGAAACGGCGTAATTAACTGGCAAGACTTTAATCATTTATGCCTTGTCTTTAACAGGGTGTCACTCCGTTCTGACAAAGCCCTTCCTTTATCACCGTGGCTCAGTCACTGCTGCACTTTCGAATCTGTGTACGGAATGTGTATTTTATAAGTAAAGCACACTGGAGCTCCCTAGAATATGCAGATCTTGCATATATTTTAGGCTGTAGCACAACCCAAAAAAAAACCCCACACTGTTTCAAGTACAGCCAGGATGATGGGATTCACTCCGGTTTTTTTCCTCCTGGGGACGTCATTAAAATGCTGTAATTTTGATTAAAAGACTACATTTAATATGGAATTCTTGTGACCGCGCTTTGTTTTTGATGAAAAGCTTCTGATAAATTGGTGCAAGGAGAGCAGAAGAACTAAGATTGTGTAGGTTAGGTGGTGATCTTGAGAAGCAGTTGGGTCTCCTTGCCAAAACACCCAGTGATTTTTTTTTTATTATTATTTATTTTTTTAATTATTTTATTTATCTTAATTTATTTTTAACGCATCACTTCCAGATTTTTCTATGCAAGGTTTTCTTGGGAAAATCCTCATCTTCCCTACAGTCACATGCCTTAATAGGATTGAGTCATGTCCATATTAGTGAAAAACTAAGGTGAATGGAATGAAGATGTAAGGATTTGAGGTGTCTGCCCAGCAGGGCAGCCCTTGGTCGTTCGAGGTGGGTTGGCTTGGAGGGTATCCATGTAGAGGAACTTGTCCGGTCCTGACTGTGCTGGGCTGGGTGGTCTGGGAGCAGGGGCAGCCTAGTCTCCCAATGAGACTGCGTATGTGAGCGAGCTTTTGTATGGATGAATGGAGGGGGCACGGTCCGGACAAAGGCCTGGGAAGAGGCGTTAGGAATTCCGTTTGTCCCGTTTCTGCAGCTGCAAGAAGGGGAAGTGGACAAGTGGCCTTTATCACCCTAAGCTGGTGCCAGACGGCTCTCCTACAGTGGCCACATTCTGAATGTCTGATTTTTCCCTCCCACTTTCTCGTCTGTGCTGACAATGGCAACAGATTAGTCTTCAAAACGGGACAATTTAATGGTTTTAACGCCTCGCTTTTGTGAGGGATTCTATGGGAAGCACAACTTGCTAAACCTGCTGGAGTGAAACGGTTACGGATCCGGAATATGTATTCACGTTTCTCCCGAGGCCATGGCGTCGGACTCGGCCCTGCGCGAGATGTTGCGGCTGTCAGGAGTATCGCTCAGGATCGGCTCTTCGGGTTCCGCTCTTCGGGTTCCGCTCTTCGGGTTCCGCTCTTCGGGTTCCGCTCTCGCTGACGGCTCCCGAAGCCACATCCTAAATGACTCCGCGTTTCGCTTGGTTGAAACGGAGGCCCCCTGAAATATCATCCGCAGCGTAGTTTGTCTGACCTGCATGTGACCTCATCTATGCCCCCTCACTCAATCTCCTAGTGATTTAATTTCCCTCATCGGGTTCACTTGCCCTGGCATGAGCATGCAGTCTTTCCAGAGGTGTAACCACAGTGCTGGTTATAAGTATTCTTGCTTCATTTTAAGGATTTAAAAAAAAAAAAAAAAAAACTGTGCATCTATTCTAAGAATCTTACCAGTTGCATTACATGTGTGAACAGGCTGTATTGAAAACATTACAATAATGAATTTTAAGGATCCGAAAATGGGTTTTTATGGCTGACAAATAGATGCGTGTGTAAACTGTGGCTCGACTTCATCTCTCCGCTGCAGGGGCAAGTTTGCAGTGGTGAAGAAGTGTGTAGAGAAGTCTACGGGAAAGGAACACGCGGCAAAGTTCCTGCGGAAGAGACGGAAGGGGCAGGACTGTCGCATGGACATCATCAACGAGATCGCCGTGCTGGAGTCGGCCGCGGCGAACCCATTCGTAGTGTCCCTGCATGAGGTGTATGAGACCACGTCGGAGATTGTCCTGGTGCTCGAATGGTAAGGGTTTCTCAGTTGACTCTCACTGTAACTTCACTGAAGTCACATGATCACAACAATGAGTATAACTTCCAGGTAAATGGATCAGATAGTATTTTTTTCTCTGCTCCATGTTATCTTATCTACATAGCATGAAGGTATTGATTAATCTCGTAATCTAAGCCTTCCTGAAACAGTGGCCTGCTAGGCTTCTGAGAAGCTGGGGGCCTTTTCCTTTTTCTGCTGGCAGGATGAGGGCTGACCTGTCGATGAGCAAAAGGTCACTGATTTGAGAATCTGTCACTTGCTGACTGTGGTGCCCGAGGTTGCGACCCACCTGTCACTCATTATTGTCACTAAGACATCTGCCGGTGGCTTTAAGGAGTTTAGTCTCTACCTCGGTTGTAGGGTCCGGGGAGCAAAGCCATCTTCTGTAGCGTTTGGTTGCTTTAGGCTAAGGCTGCTGTGAGCTGGCGGCCAAAGCAGCATCTAATTCTACTGATTAGAGGCTGTGGATGATCTGTGGAGACATAGATGGTAATTCAGCTCTGAAGAGACTTGTCATTGTCCTGGCAGAGGTGATCTTCTGGAGCATGCCTTCAGCAACAGAGGGATTGGTCAAAACCTGGCTCGCGTGAATTAAAGATGCTGTCATCTGTTCTCATGAGAATAGTGTCTTTGATCCAGAATATGTGTGTTTGTGCTGGTGGGGGCCGGCTGCTGTGAAACGGTGACAAATGTTGCCATACTTCCATTCTGAGGCCATGCACTTGTGCTTTCAGTGCAATAAGCCACGTTGCACTTTCTAAAATCAGTGTTTACTGACCTCACTGCAGACTTTTGGCAAGCCAGAAATTGGGAGAGTGTGCAGTTTACTTTGGTTTCACTTGCAAGCTTTGATGTCGAGAGCATTCAGAAGTAGGACAGGGAGACGCATGCATGCACACACACACAGGTTTGTAATTATATCTTTGTGGGGACTGTCCATTCCTTTCTATGGGCAAAACCCTAATTCCAACAATAGCAACCTAAACCCCTACCCAGCCCTAACCTTAACCAGAAGTAACCAAACAAAATAAGAGACTTTTGGCATTTTTAGTTGTTTTTTTTTTTGTTTGAAGTCACAGATTTTTATAAAATCGATGTTATCCTTGTGGGGACTGAAACAATGTCCCCACATAGTAAAATGGTGCAGGCTTTTATCACATTGTGGGGACCAGATTTCCTCACAATGTAATAATTATTTTTATACATTTTAACAGAAGTGTGTGTGTGTGTGTGTGTGTGTGTGTGTGTGTGTGTGTGTGTGCGTGTGTGCGCGCGTGTGTGTGCGCGCGCACACAAACAGACATTTGTTAATCTGTAAGGCACAAGAACACAAGAAATAAAAGGATGAGGGCTTTAAAGCCATGGAGTTTCTATCATACGGTTACACTGGTTGAACCTGAACCCTGTGTAATTGGCTGAAAGGGTGGAGGCAGATCGATACCAAGCCCTACATGGGCAGGAGGTGTGGAGGCTGCATGTAGGGCTTACTGTATGTATGGTGGTGCTTATGTATATTTCTGTTTATGTTTTTTTTGTGCTTCTCCTGTCTCATGGTGAAACTGGCAGGCAGACAGAGATGGAGGATCAAGAACTGGGGCCTCTCCCAGTGTACATCGCCTACATTTACCTCACTATGCTTAACTCTGATGTCCAGAAGTAGAACCCATGTTCATCTTTTCCATAGTCGTATACAACATCCTGGAGACTAAAACATACTTCTACCGGCACTTAAGTCCAGCCTAGCTATCTTTACTGCTGCACTGTAGTATATAGCGTAGTTGTGCATGTGCCGTATGATCAAGCAGTCTCTGTCTTGCAATGGTTTGTAGATGAAATCACATTGTTATTCCTATTAAATACTAAATGATCCTAGAAGAAGTCTTTCCTTTCAGCGTTCCAATGTGAAATAACAGTAAAATTGATTTGAAATGAAGTGTGTAGTTGTAAAGCGTGAGTGCCACGCATGTTTGCTGATCCGTTGGGTCATGTAATGAATTTCTTGGTTGAGAGAAGCAACCCCCCCCCAAACTCCTGCTTTCAATAACGGCTCCTTTTGTCAAAACATGCGTTGAGACAACGCCAAGGTTTATTTTTACCTTCCCTTCCGCTCGTGCCAGCCAGGCTGCCAAACGGCGCTTGGCACCGCGGTCCGCAGGGAAACCTGACACGTGCTGCCGGGAGAGTGATCTGCAGGAATTCGAAAACACCGGGATCCAAAGTCGAAGCGCTCGATCGGTTCTGCCTGTACAGCTTTTGGCATAACTTCCAAGAATGTGACTCGACCTCGCCCCGGCTTCCTCCATCAGTCGTGTTGTTGACCAGGAGGCCCGCAGCACCTTGGGAAGGTTGCTGGCGTAACGTTTTCATAGCCAGGCCCCAACTTTTCCACTTTGGCAGACTGCACATTGAGCGAAAGGCTGAGTATACCCACAAAATACCCAGGGCGAGTGAATTTCGGAGCTTGTCGGGGTTTGGCAGACGCGGACCTAGAAAGGTCGCTCAGTTTGCCGCAGGCCGCGGAATGCCGAATGCGATCATTATGCCGAAGATGCGAATCGAACCGTAATGCGCCGACCCTCTCTTCAACCCGCTGAGCTGCCTAGATTGGGGATTGCGGGGTGAGATGCATGAAATGACCGCCTTTAAAAAAGAGGTCCCACCGTGAGCCAGGCCTCCCTTTCACTCCTGTTAAATACAAGTTTTGCAACCAGACGAGCCTTACAGCCGTTTTATGAAAATTCGTCTCATGAAACCTGAGAAGACTGCTTGATCTTCCAGGACTGACAGAAGCATTCCTGGGGTTTTACTCTATTTTAGTGGCACTGATCTGTTTCACAGTCGTCCTTCTAATTGCAATAAGGAGCCATGGCTACTTTCTGTACCGTCCGCTACTCCTAAATCCCCTTTCATCTTGGCTAGCGTAGTATTATCTGATCTTTTATCTAGGGATTTAGAGTCCTCTTATGTAACCTGGAAAATCTTCATCCATCACTTTCCCATCCCTCCGCTCCTCCGTCCAGGCCATCCCACGTGTGCTAAACTTCCATAGCCTTCAGATAAATCTGGATTTAACAGGCTTGGGTTGGAGGTCTCTGCTATGAAGGCAGTTGGATCTGGCGTGCCTGGTGCTTTAAAATAGATACTGTTTGGACTTGGGCTGTTTGCCACAGTCACTGCTCCATTTTCATTTGTTTTGGTATGAAACAGATGGTCGTTTTGAGGGACTCGCATATTTTTAGTGTAATCTTGGTGGTATTGTTGTTCTTACTGTGTTAGCAGAACTATTGTTTGGCACAACTGCTGCTGATAAAACCATGGAAAAGTCCGTTATGTTCTCTCAGATTTTTACAGGAAAAACAATGAGTTATTTGGTGGTTTTTCTCTGGAGTAGATCTATGTACCGCTAAAGCTTTTCAATGTCTTCCTTTTAGCGAGTTTTCTCTGACTTCTGGAAACCCTCTGCAAGTTTATTTGCGAGAAGAATCACCTTACAGCGCACACAACCACATCCTAACGTGGGAGGCAGAAGGCGTTCTACCAATGTTCTGCAGATGTTTGCTGTGTGTCCTGTGCCCTTGTCATCCTCAACATTTGGGGGGGGGGGGGGTGTTATCCAGACACCCCGGGTAACATTGTTGCGGCATGGTGAACTTGCGGCTTGCCTTGTCTTTGATGCCCAAGACTTTCTGGGTTCAGCCTCTGTTCTGGATCTAAGAAGTGAGGTCGCTAGTTTAGTGAAGATGCGGGTAACTTCCAGGCTACCTGACTTACACCAAAGGCTGAGCCCTTCCTACATATGGGCTGTTCTTGGAGCTCCTAATCTTAACACAAACCAGGATGATAGACAAAACCAGACAGTTACGATGGCGGCTGGCTCCCTAACGGTCTCCTCTCTTCTCTATAAAGCACATTGAGTTGCACCAAATCCTCTTTCCCAATAATCATTAATCCTCTTGTGAATGAATGATAATCGTGCTTTTATGAGCTTGTCTGCAACACCTGTTTTTGAGAGCATATATTATTTTCTGGCACCCAATTACTGACATGATAAATGATGGCGATTCGACAATAGAAAGGCGATGAAATAAACACCACATGCACTTTGAAAATTGATTTTTATTTTTTATTTTTTCTTCCTAAATCAGTCCATAAGTGCCATAATTCTTTCTGTATTTACTTCCTACAGGGTGAATCGGTTTTCATTTTCTTAGCATTTACTACATGATGGAAACATTTTGCCAGCCAATGTTTTCCAAATGAAATGAAGTGCAAATAAAAGAAGAGAACGGAAGAGCTGCGATCGGACATGTGCCGTCTCCTTAGCTTCTAGCTCAGAAGTGGATAACGTGGTTTACATTAAAATGAACAGACACTTCAAGGTCTCAGATCTGTTTCAATAAAAAGCCATTTCATTTATATTACACTAGTGACAAGGCGTTAAGAAGCATTGGTGGGCTGTTTGTCAAAGACCACCATCGCTGTCTACATCTGACACACACACGGCCTGACAAACTGAAATTTAAAACTGAGAAGTTCTATTATGTCTGGAAATTGTCTGTATGTGAACAGAAGTCGTGTGTCACTATGCGGACACAATGTGGCATCTTTTGTAGTGATGATCTTGGACGTTCGTAGTGTGAACAGCTCCATGTGAAGAATGTATATCTGTCCTTCTGTTCACCTTCCAGTTGACTGTCTTGCTCTGGATCACAGGTATTTAAAGTCAAGAGCTTTTTCGTTTAATTCAAGGTCATAATGGATTTATGGTATCGATAGCTTAACTGGATGATGGTATGCTACATATCTTTTAAGATGTGTTGTCTGTCCTGCAAATTATTTCCAGATGTGGTGCGTTTCCGGAACAGACCTTAATCCCTTATTAATGGATCAGTGCAGCTACACCTAACTCGTGTGTGTGTGTGTGTGTGTGTGTGTGTGTGTGTGTGTGTGTGTGTGTGTGTGCGCGCCTATCAGCCCACACTAGGAAGATTCCTCTGACTCCATCTGAGATGCCAAGATAAGGAAGCTGTATTTCTCAAAGCTTAGGGATAGGGTAGAGACTGAAATAGCGTGACTGATACCCATGGCGTGTCCACAGATCACCTGGCACATGCAGTTTTACTTTTGGGGGAATGTGGCTGCAGGGCTTTTGGATTGATGAACATCTGAGATGTGTGTTTGTAGTGAAGCGATGGGGTAGAGCGCTTGCAGTACCTTAGCCACAGTCGATGCCTGTTAAGGAGATCCATGGTGAAAATGTTCCTAACCTGAGAAATGTCTCTAGATATTCAGATAATTTTGATGTCCTTTCAGTGAATCTGTGTATTGATCTTTTGATCAAGTTAAATTTTAAGTAGCTTGTGCAAGGAGAAATTCTCTCTTCTGGGATGAGTACTTGAGATGGGTTTTGATTCCATCTCCTGCCAAAACAGCATGGGAAGGACCCTTCCTGAGTGGAATGTCCACTTACATCAAAGATCAAAAGAACCTCAGGTCATCTGCAGGGTGGACCTCCCACCTACACTCTTAAAGCACAACTTTTAGGTTGCTGTTAACTTTTAAGAGTCTCCATGGGGCCTTATGGCAAATGGATAGACTGTTTTGTAAGAGTGTAATGCATAGAGAGAACATTGTTCTTCATTTTGGTATCGTATTTGTGTGTAGTTAGGGCCCTATGTGACCTTACCATCCTTCCTCTCGCTTTCCGCAGTGCTGCAGGCGGGGAGATCTTCAGCCAGTGTGTGGGGGAGAACGATGAAGCGTTCACGGAGGAGGATGTCATCCGACTGGCCAGGCAGATCCTGAAGGGCGTGGCTGGGCTCCACCTCAGCAACGTCGTCCACTTGGACCTGAAGGTCAGGAACGAGCGGCGCCCTGATCTGGGGAAACTCCGATGACTCTTCCTTTGCATTTCATGCCGCTCGTACTTCACATGCAAATTAAATGGGTTCCTCTGAATGTTGCATTGTATGACATCAAAAGATGTCGTGCTTTAATGATGTAATTAGTTTTGTTTTCGTGTTTTTTTTTTTTTTTTTTCCTTCTTCTTCTTCACCTGGGGAGTAACTCGGGCTATGACAGAAGGTCAAAGAATTTGCCTTGCCCAACAAATGACAATGTTATATTACTACATCCTAATGTAATCAGACCTGGGGCAGGCGATAGATGGTGACTTCTTATTCATAATTACACCTCACTGTAGTCATGATCTGCAAGCATTTATCGGCACAGTCCTGGATTAACCTGTTAAGATATTTGCTTTTAGGTCTCTGCCTTAAGGGATGGTCTAGGTGTGAGATGTTGTGTTCTGTTGTTGTGTGACTGTTAGGTCAGTGCACATGACATGATTTTGAGGCTTATTGTGATGTAATTCTGTAGTGAATATTTTGAATATTGTCCTACTGTATTTTGTAGCAGCCTCAGAGACATGAGGATTGATGACACTGCTCAGGATGATTAACCATATTAACAAATATGTTTACATGTTTGCTTATATACATCTTATATGTTATCTTTGTTCTCTTTTGGCTGGTGCAGTTGTACAAAAAATGCTGAATTGTCTTAAACAATGTTTATACAAATCAGTGATTGTCTTTCAATTGAGTTTTATTCCCACCGTGCTCCTTTCAGCCTCAGAACATCTTGCTGACCAGCTCTTGTCCGTTGGGAGACATCCGCATCGTGGACTTTGGTCTTTCCCGGCACGTGGACAGTGCAGATGTGCGGGAGATTTTGGGTACGCCGGAGTACGTGGGTGAGTATGCTTTGTGTCCACCCAATCGTCCAGCTCTTCCTTATAAAAACCGAACCTAACCGAAAACACTTTGTTGTAGCTCCAGAAATCTTGAACTACGAGCCAATCAGTACAGCGACTGATATGTGGTAAGTATGATCTCTAAGGCTATGCTTTTCTGGAAATGTTAGCCTTATCTATGTGTGGAATGTCACCTGTCATGGTTGGGTTATATCAAATAAAGATAGAGGCACCTTGTCACAACCTGTGTTATAAAGCCTAACTGTCTGCTTACTGCGGCGTATATACATAGAAATGGCACTAAAACTGGAACCCACCTTGCATTTTCTTTTAACCAGGAGCATCGGTGTCCTGACCTATGTCATGCTGACGGGTGTGTCCCCTTTCCTGGGCGACGAAAAGCAGGAAACCTTCCTCAACATCTCTCAGGTCAACATAGAATATCCTCAGGACATTTTCCAGGGTATTTCCTCCCTGGCCGTGGACTTCATGAAGAGCCTGCTCATCAAGGACCCCAGGTGAGGACCAGGCTTCTGGCCCATGGTGACCTGCTGCCTTCCCCCTTTTTATTCTGTGCTGGTCTGTCTCTAGGAGGCATCTACCAACTGAAGAAAATCAGACATGCACTGCAGTTCCAATTAAATGTACTAGATGCAGAGTCTGGTAATTCAGGTCCAGGGAGTAAAAGTCTGGGATTTTGTTTCAACCGACCAGTTCAATACTCTGTGACTATGACACTTTATGCTCAACTGGTTGGTTGAAACAAAATCCCGGTCTGGACTTTTACTCTCTGGACCTGAATTACCAAACTTTAACTAGACGTGGCGTACTTAATGTACCACATCAACAACCCTAACCTTCCTTTAACCAAACTCCGCTGTTTGAGGCATTTTTCTTGCCCTAATAGCCCTTCAGGGGCCAGAGTTAGTGACCCTGAGTAAGATGATCTCCTTAGTGTTCAGTTATTGCTTACAATTACCCAATAATTACAGCACCATACAGTGGAACTGAGGATTGTTCTCTGTAATAACCTCAGAGATAATGGACCTTTTATCTCTCTGATCATCATTATGTGTACAAGTCCTTACTTTACCTTCAGACTGGAAAAGAGCCCGTCTGTGATATTTATCAGTGATTTACACGAGACACTCGGGATTCTGCTAACAGTAGTTAGGCCAACTGTAAACACTCACCACAGCGTTTAATGGCTGAGAACTCCCTGTATTTAAATGATGGCTGATGGAAAGTCCTTTTGATAAGTAATTTATGGAGGGGGGGAAATGGTGTGGGAAGAGTGGAATGCTTTCATGGTGTCTGCTGCAGAGAAGCGGGGCGTTGGTGTCCATGAAGGTTTTAGACGGGAGAGCAGAGGTGGGGAGTGTCAGTATGGTCAATAAAAGCCAAATTCTGTCTTCATGTGGAGAGCAATGTACAAGATAAGGCATGTCTGCATATTTGTGCAGAGTTGTGATTCTCACCCACATCACCCCCCCCCCCAATGTTCCCCCAACCCTGGGAAACGGCCACTTGGGTGAGGGTTTGCGGTTTCTGGTGAGCGCTGGGCGATGGGGTATTTCTGACAGCTGCATTCTGGGTCAGACCGAGCAAGACGACTCGCAGTTGTCAGAGCCCAAACACCTCAAGTCTTCGCAATTCCAGTTCCAAGTTTTTTTTTAGGGCCCCTGTCACTCGGGGGACCCTTGGAATCATCCTAACCTCCCCTCACCCCCTATGGTGCCTCTCACCCTTGGGTCTTTGGAGGAGAATAGTGGCACCAGTAAGGAACAGAGTATCTCTGACGCAGGCCTAATGGACCGGCCCCCGTGCAATGGGGCCCACTGGCCCGGCGGGGGCCGCAGGGAGCGTCCTGGGAAATGCCTGTGGGAATAGTCTGTGGTGATGAGGAGAAACGCTGATTGAGGGAGAAAAACGGATCCCAATGTGGCACCAATTTAACATAATGCTGAAAACTGCAGCACTGGCTAATTCCCACCGTTAAGTCCAAGCAGGGTTACATGCAGCAGACGTTTACGGCGACGTCCTGGGGGGGCAGCTTTTCTAACGCGCAGCTGTTCTTCCTCCTGTGCATCGACAGGCAACGAGCCTCCGCTGAGGACTGTCTGAAGCACCCGTGGCTCAATGGTCACTCCAGCCCCCTGCCGCACCTACGCACCAGCCTGCTGTCCGAGAACAGCCAGTCTGAGTCGGAGCCGGAGAGCCCCTCGCCGGAGCTGCTCATTGTGGCGGCCTACAGCACGTGTTCGGGCCAGAGCGAGATGAAGGTGGCGAGGGGTCCGTTCCCCTTTGACGAGCCCTTCCCCACGCGTGCCAAGATCAAGCAGGAGCTGATCTGCTGAGCCGCTGGCGGGGATGAGCGGACTTGGAGAACCTTGTGGAGAGCCGTTGGGGCTGCTCTGAAGCACTTTGAGAAGCTGTATGTGTGTCTGTGAGCCCAGCATGTGGATGACGTTGGATGTTGTGGCTGTGGGTGTCCACCGTTTGTCCCTACACCGCCATCCATCTACCCTCAATCCTGGAACTTCTAACCAAAGCTGACTTGGGTACCCCCCCCCCCCCCCCCCCCCCCACTCCCATTAAGACCTTTCCTATCCCCACACGACTGAGCAGATGTTCAAGGAAAGGCTGCTTCCTTTTCCGTGAAAGTTACTCATCCCCAAGGGTGGAGAGAACCCGCCAAGCCCATGAGAATCTCATTGTCTCGCCCACAGCTAAACATCTAAGGAATGTCTGAAGTAGTCTCCCAGCTGTTCCTTTGGACCTGTCTGGCTAGTCGCAGGCCTGGTGGACATCCACACTCCTGCTGAAGGGCTGGAGAAGGTCCACTGTTCCCTGAAATCCTGTCACTGAGGCACAATCTTCATGGATACTGACATTTTGTCAAATGACTTTACTAGCCTGTGTGGCTGACCCTTGAATACTCCTTGAATATTTGTTTGTCTTCAAGCCTCTCCTAAGACTTTGAGGGACTTTTAAGCACTTTTTGTTCCCCATTGGACAGCTTTCAAGGCACTGCCGACGGTCCAACTGTGAATTGAGCATGCACACGTCTGTGTTGGTTAATTCACATGTATGTGATCCCTGCCTGAACTTGTTTTCAATGACATTCCACCAAACGCCAAATACGCATTCTCATTTATGTTGAACAAGCCTAGCTTTTCCGCTTAATGTTGCACTTTTTGTCCATTTTCCTCTTGAATATGTTCTGATTTGTTCTCACTTTTTTTTTTCTTCTCCTAAAAGCTACATCAACTGATCCTATGTAGTAGATGTATTTTGGGCAGAAGATCACTGAAATCAAGCTGCATCTCACAAATACAGGGCAGAGAATTGATCCTTTGAAACTTTTGAAGGTCTGTTTAGGGAGTTAAATGGCATCACCTGTTCGAATTCCTGTTTATTTTTGGGGAATATTTTGTCGTAACTTTTTTCTTTTTTTGTTTGAATTTGCTCTGTAAAAAGAAAAAAAAATATTTTTCTACTGTCAGTTTGTTTTTATATTTGTAATGTAAATGATTTTCTTATTTTTACCTTATTTGTACTGTAATGACTTAATTTCTGGCAGGTTTTTTGTTTAGTCTGTTAGATCAGTGTTTATTATTATTATTATTATTATTTACTATTGATTGTTATGCTAAATTGTATCAAGGAAATAAAAATGTACATTTTGTATCAACTACCTTCCAAACCTGCTTTTTTTTTCCCCTCCCATATTTTTGGTAAAACGTTTCTCATCTTTATTAATCTCGTGCTGAGTGCCCCCCTCCCCAACCAAAAAAAAAACAATACTGTCCATACTTCTGTAGCCCCAGAAATGGTTAAAACGATTGGATCAACAATGCTCAGCTGAAAAAATACAATCAGCAATGTTGAGACTATCTAGGAAAGTTAAGACGTTTATGAGAAACACCCCAGACCCGTGAATATGAAGCTGCTTGGGATGTCTTGTCCACCCCAGCCCCCAGTTGAGTCCCCCCCCCCTGACCTCAGTGCCCTCCCTCCCTTGTTTACCCTCTACAGGTTGAACAATGGCTTGTACTGAGAGGGAGCCAAATTCCTCCCCTTAACACGAGCTTCCTGTGCACAGCTCTGCTGGACCTGCTCCAGAACTTGCCTGTAATGCTCTTGCCCCCTAGAGCTGAGGTCCAGGAGAAGGTCTATCTGCTTCCCTCAGGAATATCCTGCTGCTTTAAGTGTGGAATGCGAGAAATGTTTCACTTTTATTTGTTTTTCTTTTTCGTAGTAATTCCATTCTTGCTCCAACTGTTACTCCAACAGCCAATCGTTCATATGCTTCTACAGGCCTGCGATGCACTGAATGCTGGACTGATTTCCATATTATTGTTTGACTCTGCCAGTCGCACTGGATTCAGGGTCTGTGAACTGGAAGCAATTAAAATGCGTCATGACTATCTCCATTTAATCGATGGATTGATTAATTAGTATTTGCATGCTCACTATGGTGCCATAGAAGGTTCAGTTGTAGTAATCGGTCATGCAACAAGGGGGAGGAAAAAAAAAACATTTGGTACTAAAATTTGCATCGGAGTCTGTTCTATGTACTCTTTCGTCCCAAGATTAGATAAACAGGTAGCAGTCTGTACAAAGGAAATGACCTACAAGATCTACAAGATAATGTGCTGCAATACATCGTAAAGCCAATACATCAAATGACTTGTCCTACACTAACATTATCAGTAGAACACCATACATCTTTTCCATTTCCTGTGACTTATTCGTCACGTCTCTGCATGCGATGCCATTTATCTGGAGCGATACACGACATAATTTTATCCTAGCTGTGTCTAGGTGGAACTTGCCTACTCAAAGTCTGGAGATGGGGTTTGTATCGCACGTTATGTGATACATTTTGTCAAGTTAAGTGAAGACATCCATTTTGGTTATTACATAATGCACTGAATTACTACATTTTTATCATAAACAAGTACAGCTTTTACATTTTTTTTTATACCCACTGCAATATGCAATAATGGGGCCAGTCTTCTGATGATAAGATTGGATAAAAAAATTGTTAGGGGGGATTGGTCACGTGGCCCAGATTATATTGTATTTTGTTGTGGTCGAAAATACAGTGCAAATTACATATTGGTTCAAAATGGGACAATCTTAAAAAATATAGGATGTGTGTCAGCTCTAAAAATTTTATTAAACAAGGTAAGTTGAGGCCCAGAGATGGCATGATGACACAGTGGTTAACGCTGTTGCCTCACACCCCTGAGACCCGGGTTCGAGTCTCTGCCATGGCTTCATGTGTGTGGACTTTGCATGTTCTCCCTGTGTTGTT